AGGATCCACTCCTCACGGTCCCGGATGGCCTGTTCCATTTCCAGTGGAGAATAGGTGTACGATTGTCTAGCGCCTGCCGCACGAAACAGAAGTTGCTGCAGGGTCTTGGTACCGAGCTCCAAATCCGCCTCCTCCAGCGGTTGTGGTTGGGAGCCGAGTATCCTTGCGAGGATCAAGTTGTAGGTGTCCGAGGCCACCAGGACATGGTCATCGTCGGGTGCCATCCCCACGATTCGTGTCCACGGTCGCGGGTCGAAGACCACCGCATCCGGGTTGGCAACCTGGTCCTTTTTGACCCATTCCAGGCAGCACGCCACGAGGATTTCCCCGTCCGACTGCACTGGTGCAAAACCAAGGTCATGCAAAATCAACTGGACCGCGGTTGGGACCCCTAGGAAGGTCGTTCCAAACGGGGAAGGGAGGCGGGGCCTCCACATCATCATGATCCACTCGAGCCCGGAGCCAAATCTCAGGGCGCCTTGCACGCACTTCAAAAGAGAGACCCGGGAAAAGGCCCCGGGGGGCCCCAAGTCCTCTTCCGGGTCTCTCTTTCACTCAATGCATGCGGCAGATCGCTTCTTGGACGGGTCCGGGGTCTTTTCGCGAAGCCGGACGTTGGAGGCCCACATCCACTCCGGAAAGTGAAACCCGGGCGGCCCCAAAAACCCCGGAAAGCCAAACCCGAAAACGGGGGGGGGGGGACCCGGGGAGCCTCCACGGAAAGGGAAAACCAAACGAGGGGGGGGGGGGGAGCCCAGGCGCACTCCGGACCAGCCCAAGCGCGCCCCTTTTTCTCGCCTGGTGCAGGCCAAGGCCTGTGCTGTGCCCGGGGGGGATATCAGCGCCATCGGCAGCTGTCCTCCCCCGGGGTGCCCTGCAATTCCGTTCCGGATGGCCGCAGTGTTGCATGATCACACGGCCCCCTTGGCAATGTCGTCAATGCGCTTGAGCGCCGCCGCCTCCGGGTTCCGGAGAATCAGCTCCCAGATGGCATCTGAGACATGGCCGGTCTGGGTGACGTGGCTGAACCTAAATCGTGGGACTTTCTGGTCCACCACGGAGACATCCCGCAGCGGGGCAGACGGCTCTACCCGGCGGTAGAACTCCAGCCGTTCCTTGACCCAGCGGTTGTACAGTCCATCGGGCGGCTCGTCCAGCACCAGCTGAAGGATGGCCTTGCCGGCCCGGATCTGGAGGAGGCGAGTGCCCCCTCCCCCGGCGCGCCAGTACCCCTTGCAGTACTTGCACATATAGCCCCCCCGGGTTTCCCCCTTCGTCTTGGGGATGAGCTCCCATGGGGTGACTGAGCTCAGAACCAGGCCGCACTCCATGTGCGCCCAGAAGACGTGCTTCGTCTCTGCCGAGAAGTTCTTCTTCTTGTACTCCTTGCCCACCACGCCGTGGACGTTGTCCGATGTGATGGGGGGGTAGACGATCCCCTCATCGCCCTCTCCTCCCCTGGGGCGGATGTCAGGGCCATCGGCACCTGTCCGGCACCCGGGGGCGGAGGGGTCCAGGCCCATCAGCTTGATCATGTCGTTGGTGTAGCCAAGCTTGCGGTAGATGGAGGGGGCCACTGAGTCGGGGACTGCGCCGACCCACCACTGCTTCGTGTTGCAGCGCCAGTTGACTTTCACCTCCGCCAGGGCCCCCGGGCCTCCAATGCGGTCCATGAGGGCCTGGTACACCTCTGGGAACTGCTGGAGACTCTCCACCGGGACCGATATGCGCTCATCACATACCGCCCGGAGGATCATCTGTTCCTTGGAGTCCGCCACGTCCTGGACCGGGAGCTGCATTACCTCCGCCGGGGTGTCCGTGAGGAAGGCCCGGGCCGCAAGGACCTTGCCCATGGCCCGGTAGACCAGGCGCCACTCCGGTCCTGTCTGCGGAAGCGGAAGGCCCTCCTCCTTCAGGAAGCACCGAGCATCTTCCTTCAGGGTCTCCCAGCCTTCCAGGCGGATCTGATTCTGGGCCTTGTTCTTCGGGCCCCGCTGCCTAGGGCCCTGAAGCAATGGCAGAGACTCCCAGACTCCCCAGAGCTGGCGCAGAGTGAAGCTGTGACCAAACATCCCCAGCAAGCCTGGGAGTGTCCAGGACGAGATCTGGCGCGTCCAGTGGAAGTCCTCCTCCGGATCGTGGGGGGCCGCCCAGAAGATGGATCGCAGGTCCTCGGGGTATGGTCGGTCCCCCGCCTTGGCCTGCTGGTTCAGCTCCTCAACGGAGTACCTGGCCCATGGGAGTCCACCCGCCTGGTGGTTCCTGGGATGCGTACCCTTTTCCAGCGCCTCCGGATTCACCTTGGTGAGGTTGTTGGCCCAGTCCGGGACGTGTACGGGCCCCGGTCGCCGGGCTGCACCTCCGGGTCCTGGGTGTCCAGGCCCCCCGGGGTGGCGGACGGCTTGTCAGGGCCCTCGGCACCTGAGCTCGTCGCACCAGAGCCCGAAGCTGGGGGGATGGTGGGCTGCCTGTCAGGGCCCTCGGCACCTGGGCGCGCCGCACCAGAGCCCCCCGCCTTTGGAATGGGGATCCCCGCCAGATCCGGCAGATCTGCCAGGAGGGCCCCCGGAAAGGGGTTCCTACCCAGCGAGATGACCGCCTTGGCTTCGAGGTAGGAGTCCGTGAGGGACGTGAGGTCGTCCATGCTGAAATCCCTCCATGCCGTGGTCGGCTCAAAGACCCCTGTCTCAATGGCAACTCGGACCTCGCTAGGCCACGCACTGAATGGAGGCTTGATGGGCTCGAGCATTCTGGTCTCGAGGGCGCCCTTCGCTTGTCTGGCCTGGTGCTTTGCCTTCGCCTCTTCCGCAGTGGTCTGGGCCTGGAGGAGCTCCGGTGTGGGCCTCCCCCAGTCCGCGCCCAGCTTATCCAGCAGTTTCTCGCGGAAAAGGTCCAAGTCCAAATTCTTGAGGAGTTGTCCCCCATCGCCTCCTCCATCGATGGCCCCTCCTTGGAGCTCGTGGAGGACCGCCGCAGATCGCTCCACCGCTGCCACCTGGTCTGCCTTCTTTGCCTCTTCCTGGGCGATGGTGGTGGCGTTGAGCCGGGTCTGGATTTTGAAGGCCTTCACTGCCGACGGGTGGAAGGCCCTGCACTCCTGGCCCTCTTCCTTGTCGCCCGGCAACGGGGGCCTTTCCCCCATTGGGGCCGTCAGGAAATCCTCGTCCAGCTCCATGGGGCAGTTCCTGATCACCGCCCGGACCGAGGAGGGGACAAAATCCGAGAAGCTGGCCTGGTCCAGGTTCTCGCATGCCATTGGGTCGGTGGCCAGCTCGCTGACATCCACCGAGGCGCTGAGCTTGAGGTCGCGGGCCCGGTCCGTGTCAGGGCCATCGGCACCTGCGGACCGGGCCGCCGTCCAGACCGCATTGCCCTGGTCATCCACTGTCAGCTGCCAGTGCGTGCCCGCCATTTCCAGGGTGGCCAAGTTGGACGCCGTGTCGATGGGCTCCGTCTTTTTGCCGCACCCCATACACTTCCTGGCGCCCTTCTTCACCCAGGGCATGGTGCAGCAGGGGCAGATCCAGGATGTGGGCTCCTTACCCAGGGGGCGGTTCTCAAGGCCCCCATACCCCAGGCCAGCGCGCTTGCCAACCTTCTGTCCCGGGGTGCTGAGCAGGGCCTCATGCTCATACTTCATCTTGGCGATGTAGAACGCCTCCACCACGCGCTCCAGGCCCCCCTGCTTGAGTTGGGGGCCCTCAAAGCCTCTCAAGAGCCGCTGGACATCCTTGGCCTGCAGTCGTCGGAGCCTGGCGGCCGTGGTCCCATCAAAACACGGGAAGTCGCCCGCCATCTGGTCCGCACTGAATTGGTAAAGGCCCTCAGAGACTTTGAGGGCCTTGGTGAAGACGCTTCCCCCTGGCGGGGGGGCTGCGGGGTCCTCATCCCCCTCCGAGGACACCTGCGCCCTGGCCTTTTCCATAAGGTCCTGGCGTCCCTGCCACTTGGTGTCGGACATCGGGGGGTCCACCTCATCTTCCGCCAGGGGTTCCTCCATCGGGGGCTCCTCCTCGTCTTCCGCCAGGAGTTCCTCCATGGGAACATCCGGCTCTGGAGGGTCGAGAAGCTCCAGGAACGCCCCTGGGGGGCGTGTCAGGGCCTTCGGCACCTGCGCCACCCCAGGGGGGGAGTCCGCCATCAGCTCGTCCTCGGCCTTACGCTTGGCTGGGATGAGTGGGGCTTGCTCCAGCTCGTCGGCGCTGGAGAAGAACCGTTCGTCCGGTGCCTGAGGGACCTCAGCCGCCAGGACGGTCCAACCTTCTTCCTCCTTTTTCACAAGGCTTGCCAGGTACTTCGCCATGGATGCCTTCGCCTTCGCCTTAGCCTCTGCAACCGCGGCACCAGCATAGGCGGGGGTGTACATGGCTTTAGTAGGAGGGGAAAGAAAGATTTCAGATTCCAAGACAAAAGGGAAGTGTCCACTTGAGCCAAAATGGTGGCCCAAGTGGATACTTACAAAGAGTCAAGACAAGCGACCACCTACGGTTAACACTTTAGCCCAGTGTGTCCCCTTCTGCGGAATTAAGTACCCCTGACTTACACCTTACTTTTCGTAGCGGTTTTTTGCTTGATTATGGTTTTCCCGAATGGTTTGCCTGTGGTCTATGATATGTCTACGGTATGTCTATGGTTTGTCTATGGTTTGTCTATCGTGTCAATTTGCCCTGATCAGAGCACTCGAAGAAATTGAGCCCCCGTAGTGGATGCAAATAATGTCCCTTCTCGAGCAAAACATGTCCGTTGTCCTAAGGACATTTATTTAATGGCCGAGGAAGTTCTGGGTTATGCAAACTCAAATTAATCGTCGAAACAGGTGGAAAACCATCTGCGGAAACCTGTGCATCACACCCGAACATCTTTCCCGTAAAGAAAAAAAGATGCCATTTCCGATTGGGATTGTTTCTATCCGAGACATTGTTGTTTCTGGCGAAGAGGCCATGCCCCTCCTTACAACCAATCGACAAACAATCTGAGAGGAGCTACGAAATTGCGCAGTCCTGAGAATCCAGTTGTCCATGCTGCAGCCGGGGTAGGCGCACGCCTCAGGACGAACATCTTTTTGGAACGCAGGGCCTTTGATCCAGGGCGTACCCTACCCTGGAACCCAGCAGAAGGGTGCCTTGAGGAAAATGGTCTCCCAGGACACCCCAGTTGGGCTACGCATTAGTTGGGAAGGTGTCTGCATTATACATAGGTGCATTCCAGGCTTAAGGATGGCAACTTGGAACCACGAAAAATGGGCCGAGGACATGCCTTGAGCCAGGTCCATGTCTCGCGGATTCATTGTGTGATGGACCAAGGCCGTCGCATGGTATAGGTGCTCACATTCCTTGCGCCTGGCGCCAAAGGAGGAAAGTCCTGTTGGACCTGCCATGGAGGTTCTTTCAGAAAAGCGGAAAAGCTATTTGAAGGAAGGAACCCCACCTCCTGGAGTTGTCCCAAAGGAGCCACCAGCAAAATCATCTTCCGAAATGAGTTGCTGGTTGGTGGATGGGGCAAGTGGGTCCCAAAGTACAACAGTGTTTTCCTGGTTTGCTGGAGAGTTACGCCTGAGAAGAACCATCCACACATCATCCATTTTGAGCAACCTCTGCACTAGGTTCTGAATGGGAATCTTGTCAAGCAGCGGCCAAAGGTGCTGCTTGAGACACATTGAGACACCCAAATGCTTGATTGAAGAAAAGTCTGTGCCCGGCCGTGCCTGGCGTTCTCGTACCAATCATCCACCTGCTTCGCCGGGCGAGCCACGTGCGGCTTTCGATGCGGTCTTGCTCAGTCATCTTGCTCAATCACTGCGAGTGGTGCTAACATCAACTTCAGATTTACTTGGAGGACTGTATTTATCAGGGCGCGTTCCCCTTTTCCTGGTGAAACTAGCTCATGATTAAGGGGATTCCTTCGGAATGGTGCGGTCCTCCGATTTTAATCCGATGATAAGATCAAGGCTTGATTGCTGTTGCGAAGGTGCAAACTGGTCGGAAATCTGAATGTTGGCAACGAACAAATGCATTATAAAATTGTGGTAAAGTTTGCCGATGTGCTAGGCGACACAGAACCTGCCCCTGCAACCTCTCGAAGTCTTCCAAGGGCCCCCTACAGCTTGGGGAATGTTCATGGATGCCCCGCAAGAAGTAATCTGCAGCCTGGACACGTAATTGAAGAACACCTGCACCGCACCCGTTCAAAGGGAAACCGACTGTTCGACCTGCCTTGGTCTGGAAGATGTTCGGAGGCACATCGCGCACCTGAAACTGCCTCCTCACCTGGCGCGCCAGAACCGGCCAAGGGGCCCCCAGTAAGAGAGCTTCGTCACGCGTGTTCTCGTTTTGACCCCAAGTGAGCTTGTTATAACTTGACAGTAACTTGGGAATGTCTGTCAACTTAGAACATTGGTGATCATCCAATGGTTGCAAACCAATCTTGACCCCAACAAAAACATGCGGTTGCTCACGTTTGGCCCATGGCACAGAGGAAAACAGCAAATATCCGCTGGTGGCTCGGGCACTCACGCAGAAGGCGGACTCACGGGAAGACCATGTTCCTTCTCATGTTTGAAGTTGTCGGCACGACCCGTAAGGTGGTGGACCTTCAGTGAAGGCGAAATGCTGCAGCCCCGTAATTTGCGGTTCCATCATTGAAGATGGTCGGTCTGTAGGTCAGCAGTGGTTCGCGATGTTTGTTGGCCGAAAAGATATCGTATAAACCAGTCATCGCTGACACCATCTCCAACAAGATGTGTCTGAAGCACAAGCTAACGTCCAGCCAATGTAGAGGCCCATGTTTCGAGTAGCAGCTGCATCCAGGAGCATTTCTTTCAACCTCCCGGAAGCGAGGAGTAGGCTCATGTTCACTTTGACATTCGTCACCAAAGAATCTCCAACGTGTTGTGAACCAAGCACGCACAGCCATACCAGCTGTACACCTCCAGACGCTGTGCTATCGGGCCATCGGGCCTGCGCCAACTCCAACTGGAACTCCTGGCTGCTCTGCCAGGGGTGCTGTTTCCGTACTGGGCTAGGCCCCTGTGGTTTCTGTGGGGAATCTTTCTCGTCTGAGGAGTCCCTGTCCCTCCCTCGACCGTAGACTTCTGACCATGACCGGACATAGCAAAACCTATCCATTCCAAACCTTCGCGATTCGCGCGTCGGACTTCGAGTGCTCTCCTGTTCCTCCCCGGCATCTGTTGGCGGCGAAGCCAACAAAACCTCGCACGCGCCGGCAATCTGCTTCAGGCCCCCTCGGCCCCGGAATTATCTACTCACAAATCGGCCGAGCCAGGTATCTGACCAGGTATCTAGCTTTCGCTCCCGGGCCCCCATCAGGCGATGTGTTCTGATTTTCATTCATATTCATGAATCTGTCTGGTAACGAAAAGGACCCGTGAATATGGATTAAGCATTCAGCAACGAAACAAGAACCAATCATCCCCTCGCCCTCTGTGGTTTATTCGGGCTTCTCTGGTGGCTTCGGCGGCGAAAAGGGTGCCAACTCGACACCAGACGTGGACTGAATAGAATTCACCAACCACCAAGAAATCCACAATGATTCCGTTTACCTGTCAAGTAGGTAACCACGGGAAGCGACCACCCTTTAAAAACCACCTGATGAAAATGGCCAAGGGCAACCTACTGAGTCAGTGGCTAGTGGCTAGTGGTAGCTGGGATCTGGGATCCACCGTGCGAGCGGTTTCCCTGGCCTGCAGTGCCTTGTCAGCGGCTTCTGCCAGGCCATGCAAGGCCTCAAGCGAGGCTATGTCCCAAAACCCGAGGTGGGTGGAACACAAGCAGAAGGGAGCAAAAAACCGCAGGCTCCATAGGAACTGCAACACACCCAGGCATGGCGGTCGAAATGGGTGTGAGCCCTTCTTGGCTCAACAAGAATACTATCCTGAGTATGCAGAACCTGAGCGTATGTTTGAAGTTCACTTCTGGCTGTTCGGCGACTTCAAACTGATGCAGAACTGTTCTTAGGCGCGAAGAGACTGAAGGTGGACAGCCTGATCAATTGCTACAATTGCTTGGATCTTGCAAGAGATGTTGGATGCAAAATCACCTTTGGATCCACCCCAAAAGAGTATCAAAAGAGTGACATATTTATGTACAAGGCTACTTCGGGCCACTCTGTTGCCCCATCAAATCCAGGGATGGCAACACGTAGACTCTAGCCGAGCATGTCGCATTCCCAGCCGACATCCGGATGTCGTTCTTCACAATTCTCCCTCTTGGTGGCGGGTACTTCCATTTCTGGAAACAGTTGTTGGGTCGCCTGTGGGGGTTCCGAGACGCGATTGGACAATCGCGACATGCCACAATGCTAGTGGCAATGATGCTTTTGCGTTTGTGGCTTGATCAATCGCCAAAATGAATGAACGAGACGGGGAAGGCAAGCGGTCTCCCTTTGCCTACTTCAGCAGCAGCTCAAAGTCGCTGCTCAGCTGACAAAGAAGTCAACATGATATTTGCGATGCTCTTCGCAATAAGCGGATGGGCAGGCCTTAAGGGTGCAACTTTGGCAACCTGGACTCTTGGATCCGTCACTACAACTAGACCTCCGGAAGATGATCCACTCAGTACTCCAGGAAAGGCAAGTGAAAACAGAAAACAGCAGCTGCAGCTACTTGCTCCTGTGCATTGTCTCCGTGCATTCTTGCCCCTGATCTTCGGCAGTTTGTATTGCAAGGCTACACCAGGGACAACTAGGCGAACCTGTTCGAGATAGAAATTTGGGAATCGTTGTATGGAAAGGTGAGATACTTCAAATATCCTCGTTGCTGCTTTCCCTTGGAAAGGAACCCATGATCCGGAGAAATTGGGGGGGGGGGGGCGCTTCTTTTGGGGGACACCTAAAAATGTTGGGTATTCCTTGTGGTGTCCCTTCACAACTATGCTTAAAAAGAGTTTTACCCCCTAAAAACAGAGACGGATCTCCTGTAGCACGCGTTTTGCCACTTCACCCACAAGGCGGCGGCGGTCTTGCCGGCAATGGTCAAGCACCCGCAAACGAGGTTCTGGCAATACGAATGCACGGAACCTCCGACTGCTTCAACAATCAAATGGCTTTAAAAGTTCAAACATGTACTTGGATTCCAGTCACGAAAGCGAAACCAATAAATAGGAGCATAACAGGTTGAAGTTTGGTGTTCAACAAGTGAAACGATCAAACCCAACTGCCGGGGATGATGCCCAAAATACACAAGGGTAGGTAAAGGCCGCCAAAACGGGTGAAGTCTTGGGCTACCCCAATAAACTCTTTGGGGTTCTAACACACCTCACGTAGGAATCCCTGAAACTGGGAACACGTTTTGCATTTGGAGATGGTTTGATAGCAAGGTGTGTGTGCGCGTGAGGCTAACTGGTGTTGACAGACAGCCACAGGAGGTTTGCCGTTTGACTTGTCAGAGGACGGATGTCCTCAACAACAACCCAACACAACCGATGTTTTGCTGAGAAACCTCATGCCTCCTCAATGACATAGCCTAACATCTCGACTTGTGGCGGAGTGAAGCCACCAGTCCTTGAAATGTGAGCTAGCAACGGCTTAAACTCAGGGAGTCCCTCCATAGCTAGAACCACCGCGAATCAAACAGAATATGTGTCTTTTCCAAAAAAAACACCCGGCTCCCCTACCCAAGCCCTGTGCTGCTCATTCACCTGGGCAGTTGTTCAACATACGGCTTCTGCGATGGTTGTTTGGTCTCATGCCATGAAGACAACATTCATGCTTTCATAATGAAAAGGTCGCCCCATTTTTCAGGAATTGTTGTCCGCCGTTTGTGGGATTTTTTCCCCTGTCCATTTTAGAGTGGTTTATGGTGGGTTTAAGGTGCGTTCAGGGTTGGCTTAGGGTTTGGGCGCGTTTCGGGTGGGTTTCAGGTAGGTTTAGAGTGGGTTCAGGGTGGGTTTAAGGTGCGTTTCAAGTGGTTTAGTGTGGGTTTAGGGGCTTCGGGTGGTTGAGGGCCTGGTTGAGGATGGGCTCGGGGTGGTTTGGATGCGCACTTGCGCAGAGAACGACGGGCAGACTGCAAACATCCCAATCCAGCGGGAAGAACACCTTGACTAATATGGCACCCTTTAAGAATAGGGGAGACCATGGCATGATTGTCAAATCGTAGCAACAAAACACAACATATACTTCATGACAATTCAAGTTGCTGCTTGTTCCCTTCCCATTCTCTTGTGGAAAGATGTGCAGGGGGATCCCCACAAGAGGAGCCTGCGCTTGACATTGGACCCGAAAGCACAGCATATTCGTGAACATACCTCCATATGGGTGCGTCTTTTTAGGGACCCCCAAAATGGTGGGTTTTCTTTGGTTTCCCCTTTAAAACCACAGAAAAATGGGTACCCTCAAAGAAGACAGCAATATGGGTGTTTCCGGAAACCTAGGCACATCTTTTTTGGTCAAGCGAAAACCAAGGGAACCAAGCCGAAAAATACCCGCTGTCCATCACCAGAAGGGGATCCAATCCATAGGCATCACCCATGTGAGGCCCACATCGAAATCCAGTCACCTGAAGATTAAACTGGAACCCAAAACAACTTTACTTTGAAGAAACGACCCTTCCACATTCATCGGCCCGGCCAAATAAAGATCTGTCGCCTGAGTCTGCGTGATGTCCCCCACCACGGTGCGCAAAGCCATCCATCGACATCCTGACTGTCACGGCGCTTCGCGGGCTTCACCCTTCGCGGATGCGCTTCGGAAAAGCCCCGGGCCAACGGCTCTCAAATTTGCGGGTCTCCTTTTTTCGGCTGCCGAAACAAGGGTTGCCACTTCCAAACATCAAGGGCCACCTTTTGGCTTTGAAAAAAAAAAAAAAAAACGAGGCTCCGTCCTCGGCAGAGCAAGTGCCCCTTGCCACATCCGATCAGGAAGCCATCATCCTCAATGGCGTTGCGAAGGACCACACCCCACCCGCCTACCGCCTAGGCAGCTACCAAGCCACCCAGCCATCCAGCCAGCCTCGCACCCCCCACATACACAAACACAAACAGAGAGAGAGAGAGACACACAAACTTATCTTATATATATATATATGAATGAATGAATGAATGAAAAAAGAATGAATGAATGAATGAATGAATGAATGAATGAATGAATGAATGAATGAATGAATGAATGAATGAATGAATCAATGAATGAATGAATCAATGAATGAATGAATAAATGAATGAATGAATGAATGAATGAATGAATGAATGAAGGAATGAATGAAGGAATGAAGGAATGAATGAAGGAATGAATGAATGAATGAATGAAGGAATGAATTAATTAACAAATAGATTACTCAATGAATCAATGATTGATTGATTGATTGGTTCATTCATTCATTCATTCATTCATTCATTCATTCATTCGTTCATTGATTCATTGATTGATCCATTGATTGATTCATTGATTGATTGATTGATTGATTGAGTGAGTAATTGATTGATTGATTGATTGATTGATTGATTGATTGATTGATTGATTGGTTGCTTGACTGCGTTGTGTATCTATGTTTGGCTGTTTTATGTATGTTTAATTGTTTAGCTTTTCTTGTTTGACTTTTCCTTACTCATTGCTTCATTTGTTTATGTCAATGCATTTACCAATTTGTTACTGTGTTTGTTCATTGACTTAACTTGTTTATCTATTTGTCTGTCTATTTTATCTATTTTAGCGGTGTGTTTACTTATGTTCTTGTTTATTCATCAGTGCTTGAACCAAAATACACAGCACTTCCGCACAAGCTGTGATCATTTGTCTGCCTGCCCATTTTGGACGATGGAACACTGGTGGCCCCCCTCCTGTGAGAAGGGCATCCCAACAGCCAAAACCTTGCGGAACCCTACCCCGCAGCGGCTCGAACCACTCCGGAGCATGGGCAGAGACCCCAAAGCTTCCAGATGGCGAATATGGTGGCATAAAGACCCAAGTGAAAGATACTCCCTATTCGAGAATGCAAAGTTGAAGATCCTGCTAGGCAGGTTTACATTGGTTTACAAGGAACCTCTAAAACATTCCCATCATTGGACCATCTGAGGTCCGCTACTTTGCCCGTTCCAACAAAAGCAGTGTGATCCAACCATCAACTAACATTCATGCCAACCGAGTAGTTTTCCAAAATCGAGGGTTGCCATGCCGAAACAAAGCGTAAAGGCCTGATTCAGGATTCCATCTAGATGTCCAAGCTGAAACGTCACCCCAGTTAAATGGGAGCTCACGTCGAAATTGCCTTTCCAAAGGGGAATGTTTAAAACCACCCCAAAGATAAGTTTCGCTGTTACTTGGACCCAAGTTTTCTTCCGCTACCTAGTCCCCAGGCCCCCCCCAAGGGAGCCCTGACACGTGTCTGTCTCAAACTGAGAGGACACCCCCTTTTTTGGATGGTGTTGGAGGGAAACCGCAAAGGGAAGTCGCATTAGATGGTTACGGGAAGCTAAAGGAAACCGATGCCCCCCACGCCAGGACAAAAGGAAGCAACCCGGAGCTTTCAGCCTTCGGCCCCGGGCCGAGAAGCACACGCTGCAGGCGTCCCCCGTCTTGAGGTCCAGCCCGGCCACCTTCCGAACAAGGGACCGGTTTGCTTGGGCCCGGCTCGGGGGATCGGCTCAGGTGTGCGTTTTTGGGGATCGGCTCCCAAAAATGAGTGATCGATTCTCCTCGTGGCTTCAATGTTCTAAACACTGAGGACTGAGGACCTTTGAATCGGGCCTGTTTCGGGGTATCTTGAAGTTGCTGAGGCCCTGTATCTGTTCAAGCCCACTTGCGTACCTGGAAAGAATGGGGCTCGGCAGGGTGTTGAGCAGGCTTCCAGTGACTTTTGGAACATTGACTTCGCGATGGTTGTGTGACTTGAGCCAAGACACCAACTAATGAATCCTATTAAGCTCTGGCTTGAAAAGTGGCCAGCTTACCGGACTGCAGCCGTATGAGACGGTCGCCCGCGTATGGAATCTCAGCCCCTTTGGATAAACCGGGCGTTCGGACAGGTTCATATGGGTGCGCGCATGGATATCCAATCTCAGAGGTTTGCTATTGCTTTGTTTGATACAGGGTCGATCTGGCTATCTGGTTCGATCTGAACTAGGGACGTGCTGTGGCTTGAGGGTTGCGCCGGGAGCCAGAGAAGGGCAGGGAAAGGACAAAACAGTGGGATCCAAAGATAGGCAACAAACAAGCATCGAGGGGGCTACGAGATGCAGACGAGCGGGCTACCTGCTAATCAGCCAGCACAAAGTCTTCTCCACTGCTCCAAGCACCTTCCCATGTCTCTGTCTTTCCCAGTCCCTGATTGTTTTTGCTCAAAGGCAAGGCGCCCCCGATGTCTCCGAGCCAAACGGCTTGCTGTTTTTGTTTCTTTTTTGTTAAGCCAAGCTGGTGTATGAGCTTTGGCATAAGAATAGAACAACCATACGTGCAGATGGGGGATGTCTTTCTTTGAGGGATATTCATGTGTTTGTGGTTTTGAAGGGACACCAAAAGAACTCCACCATTTATGGGGTCCCCCCAAAAAGATACATGCCCATATGACCATATGTGCCCTGGTCAAAACTCCTGAAGTCGGCTTTGGTCATGGTGAAGCAAATAGTAACCTTCATGATGCTTTGAATCCCTGTAAGGGGTTGATGACCATCCCCACCAACGCCACGTGACGGGCTTTTTTTGGGCCATGGTTCATTCCAGTAGATCTCTGCCAGTGGTTCCTAAAATTGGACACCCCTCAATCGGTTGCTGTAGCATGTCAATACAAACCAATCAAAAAAGGAGGTCCCCAATTTCAGGATGCAAAATCATGTTCACACATACCTTCTAATGATTTCCCATTCTGCCGTGACATCAAGCTACACTCGATGTCAACACCCTCGCTTGCCGTGATTCCCTTGTGTCCTCTTCCATGCATACACATTCTGGGAACCTGAGCCAGCTACTCTAACAACTGTTTTTTGGACAGTCGGGTGGTTGGACAAGGAAGCCCCCCAGGCCTCGCCCCGGCGCACGCGCCGCACCGGTCTTCGGCGCTTGGGATTGCCCTCGAGCGGAGTGAGAGGTGCCAGAGTCGGCTTTGGTGGGTTGGCTTTGGGTCAATCCATCCCATCAACCATTATCAGCCCATGCCAAGCCAAGACGCCAACTCGCCCAGCTCTGGATAATGCTAACCAACAACCAGCCAGGCTGACTGTTCAACGAAACGGTGTCTCCAACAAGCAAGGGTTCCCCCCGACAGGGAAGCACGACTAGAAGATAGGTTGGACGAAAGCCAACACGGTTGGACAGCTCTGGGCTTCATCTGAGTGCTTGTTTTTTGAGGAAGCCAAAAACCTCTGCAGGCCTTCTGCCGCAAACCTGCATATTAGCAAGTCACGCCGACCATGGGACCGGCCGTGGGATTCGACTTCCAAGCACTCTGACGCACCGAAATCATCGGGGCTTGGTATTCCAGGTGTTACGGTATGATCCCCGCTCCATTGGATCTCCGAAAATGGGCGGGGACCCATTTTTTGGAAGGTTAACCAAAAGGAAACTGCCGATTCCGCAACTGTCAGGGTCCCGTTTTGCTGACGCACCCTGGCCTTCTGAAACTGGACGAAGCAGTTGTTGGAGAGCCGCGTCTCATCGTCGAACAACGGATTCCCCACGGTGATGCGGCTCTGAGCCCGGAGAAGGGATCCGGATCTTTCCTCCCCACTGAGCAAAAAGAAGAGTAGAACTTCTCCCTTGGCGGACACCATTTGTGGTGGGGATGTGTGTGTCCATCACTCTTGAAGGGTTCACTATCGAAATCCTTGCCATATGGTCAGCTGTCAAAATCGGGGGATCCCGGCGGTGTCCAACCTGTCCATGCAAAGCATTAAACAAAAACAACAAGAAACGCAAAACTCGCTGGTGGGCAATGAGGGAATGACCCCTACAAGCCATCCAACCTTGTGGTTTGCCTGCACGGGACCCCTCATTCCCCAGCTATCACACCAGCAAGGAACTAGTAAGGCGAGACAGTTTCGCCAGGCCCTGGCCGAACAGCAGATATGTCCAAAACCACACGCGGTCCTCCCTTTCAGTGGATTCCATTGAGCTCGCGCTATGTCAATACAAATTCAGCACGACCAACAAAGAGGGGAGCGCCCCCCCAAAAAGGGACCCCATTAGACCGGCCTTATTGGTCGCCATTAGCCCGTATTGGGATTCCGGAGGGGGCTCCTAGTAGAGGCCCTTGACAACCATACGAAAATATGCATACTTTACATGCTCACTGCCACAGCTGCTGATGATTCTGTTCAGGTTGCCGTTGGATGTTTGCAAATCCTCCTGTTGTTCCCTCCTTAGTTTACTGTCCAATGTGCCACTGGCACGAGGTTCCACCGATTTCCAGAAAAACAACAATAGCCGCAAGCTAACGCCGTGGAAGGACTTGACTGACGGGTCCAAACGAGCGCCCGGCATGAGGGAGGAAAGCTTCTCGGAAGCCTTGCCCGCCTTGGTGATGTTCTGCGAAATACCATAACTATGCATGTGACATTGTGATATGTGTCTTGAATGTATGCATACATATATACAATATAGATACTACATGTATATGTAGAGTAATTATTCATACAACAATGCACAAACGGTCAATCAATTCGCTTGTCGTTTTGGAGGCACAACTCATTCACTCCAAACCCCGATGGAGCGAACTTGTCAGGCTTGGATCCAGCACCTCTGGCAAGGCTCACTTACTCGGATGCATGAAGATCACGTGGCGTGTCAAAAACATGCACCCCTTTGAGGACGGCGTCCCAAAGCACCGACACAGCAAGAATCTAAAATGGTCCCTACTCTGTCTTGACACATAGGCATTTATCATGGAGCGCATGAACAAACCTCACAACCTTCAACCAGAGGTTGCGCCTAACCGCAGAAACCCGCTCCCGGAAACATCTGCACAGCCGAGGGTCCTGAATAGTCGAAGGGCGCGTCCCGGGAGATCTGGCGACAATTTCAACCGTCTCCCAGGTGATCTTTTTTTTCAAAAAGATGTTCCAAGTTCCAACTACATCCCCCCCCAAGCCGCTTTGCAAACCAGCAGAATGGTGGCGCTGAACCATTCCAACTGAATTGATTTGATGCTGAGTTAAAGACTGGTAGCTTGTGGTGGGGCTTATCCTTTAACCTCCATTTAAAGGAGGGCTTCTACACTGCTGGGTGATTGCCTGACAATCTTCACTCAACTCAGAGCGGAAGCAAAACGCCGGTGTCGCCCTCTGCAGGGAGTATCTCACCTCATCGATGGGCACCTGCACCCAAAACGGGTCGAGCGGTTTGTGAAACCAGTAGATTCCATCTATCCCACACAATCCGTGTGGTGCTGTGTGGATACGTTTTATGATCCTGCCCTGCCCCGAGAGCCCCGCCGCTTCTTGGCAGATTCGAAACTTCTCGTTGCGCGCTAGCTCCTGCAGCGCAGTAGGCGTCCCTCCAGTTGCTTTAGGGTGTCAAATTCCATCAGGACCATTGCTGAGCAATTTATCATGACTGACTCACACATCTACCTTGATGGTTGAGCCCGTTTAGCCCCTGAGCGCCTTATAAGTTGCGAACCAGAATGATTCACCAAACCAAAAAAGGGGGTCCTATGGGAGCGAGGTCGCAAAAGCCGCTTCGTAAGTGCCTCATGATTCTCTCGTTTGCAAACTTCGATAAAAGGAGGAGCGAAAGCGCGCAGGAGTTGCTGTTTGGACTAGCTCATGCAGCTTCGGTACTGATTGGCACCATGCAACTGCCCTTGGCTGGGCAATCACTCAACCCTGCGACAACCTCCAACCTCTGGAGAATCTAGGGGTGCTTGCACATGCCCTTCAAAAAGCAGCTCAACAAACAAAATGCACAGGATCCTTTCGACCCACCGGGCCATTTTGGGTTGGCAACCGGGCAGCCATAGGATGGTGTGTCCCAATTGGGGAACCAACATATTGTGCGGTGTCCTTTAGAACAGCCTGTAAAATGACACGAAAGAGAAACATATGAAAACATCACTCGGAGAGGAATCGCACTCTTACCCTTCGTCCTCCTCCAGTCTGGCACTCACATGAGGATGGTAGTTCCTCGTTGCTGCATTCAATGCCCGACAGTACCACAAGAAACCAATCGGAGCCATCGAAAGTTGAAGCCCCCCAATCTGCAAAACCGACCGAAGACCCTCACGATCCGCTACCATAGCAACATTGTCCTTGAATAATTACTGCATGGGACCGTGACAAGATCGGGGTTCCCGTTGAAAACCAGTGAGCCCTTCGACATAGCTAGGCTGTTCAGGAACAATTCTGCAGGTCTTGTCATTTGCGACCTGACATATCCCCTGATCAAACATGCCCCGAGTCCCCCACTAGAGGGAAACCGCAATTGGGTTCCCCTTTGAGACCCCAAACCAACTCGTGTCAGACCGCGAGGCCGAGGCTTCCAGTGCCCGACACCCCCAGGCTTGGGATCGCCCCACCTGAGCAAAAAATAACGCGCCCTTGTCGAGCTCCCCGGTTTTAACGGGTGACATGGGGAGGAAATACCCCCCATATCCATATTTGTGACAGCTTGTCGCAGTACAAGGTGCTGTCGTGGTTCGAGACAACCATTAACCATCTCCTATACTCTGCTTTTTGGTGGTTGTCATGGGGTCAACGAGAAGCCGCCAATTCCATTTGGCCGAACGAACATCTCGTTCACGCTCGGGGAACGTATGGATCAAAGGCCCGGCATGACTGTATATGAACCAGCGTCAATGTTCGACACATTCTAATCTTGTGGTGTCGGAATCTGATGGGTCTGTACTCAACAAATATTGTGCTCCGGCTCACATGGTGCAAGTGTCACAACTAGAGCCAAGCTGCCACCATTGGAACACCGCCTGCGCCGGCAAGCGCGTGTGAAATGGCAAGGAGATACTGAGCAAAACCAGGTTTAAACGTATAAGTTTTCTTGAGTCGGTGATGGAAGCTCACATCATCCGTCGGCACGCATCAGGATGGGTCCCTGCTTAGCAAGCAGGTACATGGTGGTCTGTCAAGCTCAAATCAGTCATAAACCCCCCAACAACAGATGACGATGCAGTCCTGAGCACACAGTTCCTCAGGGTATCTGTTTGAAAGGAAACCAAAGAGAGACCATCCATCTGGAGGGGTTCCAAACCGTTTCATAAAATTGGCTGGCTCCCTTTGGGTTAACCCTTTGGACACCAAGGACACTCTCACTTGGCTGAGAGCTTCTCCACATTGGAAAATTGTCAACAGGGAGGTAACCCTGAACAAAGGTATCTGCTGTCTCCGCCCTTTGACGACGTGGCCCGCTCTCACCGCTGTGGAAACAAGGTAGTACCGCCTCACACATGTCCCCCAAACTTTATGGAAAGTGTCAAAATGGGCGGTGTCCAACTCCAAAAAAGGGGAAAAAACACATGGTACGAGGACCCTTGGCTTTTTGGAAAGCTGGTGACTGTGCTTGTTACACTTTGTGAGTTCAGGGTTCCCAAGGGGTACCCTTTAGTTTTCCTTAAACAACAAGGGTACCAACTCCAAAAGACACCCACATCCCAAAGTCGGCCTCCCCTGGTGGCACGGAGTCACTCTCGACTGCCTCAGGTGCTCTCGAGTGGAACGTCGCCCTTTTGAGCAGCGCGCCTCTTTTTTGGCCACCCAAACCCCTCCTCAGCTTTTGCAACCCCGACAAATGTGGCATGTTTACTTCTGCTCCATGTTCAGCAAGTCGCTAAATTACCAAGAGTGGGCCATCCCCATGACTATTCTATCACCTGCAAAAGGAAATCCATGGTATCACAGAAGGTGAGCTCCCAACACCAAATTGTCCACAAGCACGAAACAATTCTTTGTGAGGCTACAAGAACCAACCTCGTACAAGAAGCAACCTCGTGCAGGCTACATGCGATGTCGCGTGAGAGCCTCTAGGCAGAGTCGTTCATGAAACCAGTGCAGTGAACGTGCGAAACCACAAAAGCTGTTGGCTTGGATTTGGGCGTGTCTGCAGAAAAAGAGGACACCCTTCTGAATGGCGACCAAACGGACACCGCAAGACAGCCACTCATTTGGCAACCAGCAGCAGCAGCAACACCGCCACAACAAAGAACCTGACCCCGGTCTGCAAAACCGACAAGGAAACAAGGACCGGTGTCTCTGCAATACTGTCCATTGTGCAAAGGCTGTTCTTTCAAGGCCGCTTCCTAAAACGAACTCTGACGAGTCCCCACTCATGTAGCAGAAGTGTTGGCAAGGTGGATTCCTTTCTGTAGCACTCCATGTTAGTATGGCAATCCCATTAAGAATCGTCAAAGTGACCCTGGGTGACCCAAGTCGCCAGCAAACTCCCACCACCTCTGTGCGCATCATCCGGGATCTGGGGCACCCCACGGAGGCCGCCACTTCGGGCTTCGGCGCCTTGCGCTTGCGGAAGCGGTCCACATTGGCGAAGAGGAAGTCCGGGCGCTCCACCTGAGAACTGCCCAAACGTTGGAGAGAATGCAGGCGGAGCACGCACCAAGAAGGTTCCAAGGTGGTCCATAGACTAAATTGAGTGCGTGTTTTTGGGAGCAACTGCACAGCCATGGTCAATATTCACTCACAGAGGATTTCGGTGGAACCTCAATCTTAGACCTGAGGGGAGGCAACGGTCGGGCCGCGCGCCTCAATCAAGATGACCTCAGCTTTCGCAAGGCGATGAACGCTTTGCCTACATTGGGACCCCATGAAAGGTGGCTTTGAAAGGGTAACGTCAACCCCGGATTAACAACTCCATCCTAAACATAGGGGGTTCCCTCCAGAAGTGATGAAGCCCGAAAAGGGGACACCCCACACCCCATTATGCCATTAATCCACCAAGGTCCTTTTTCATCCGGGGTCAACACTAGCCTCAAAAAGACCTAAGATGCCTCTCCCCAAGGCTGTTCGGCTGTTCGGATCGGACCACTCAGCCCCGCACCACGCGGCCTCGGGCAAAAGATCCGACTGGGGCCACAAAAGCTTCAGTCGCCCTCCTGAAAACAATGGAGGAAAACAGGCGTTTCGCATACTTTGCCTGCTTAAGCGTCAGAAGCATGGGCATGTTCCCGGCAGCCACTTGAGCCTTTTCAGTGCTCGGCCTGAGCCTTAGCGTTTGGACTTCCTGGATCTAATTATCTGTGTTGCAAAGTATCAAGTTGGGCGGCTCAAAACATGCTATGAGGGACTTGGGATTTCAATGGGGCAACTGTGGAAATTGTCCGTTCGTCCCAAACGCTCTTTTTGTTTGGGGAAGACACCCAAACACCCAAATTCCCCACAAAAGCATGGCCAACCGAATTTCCCCTTCTTTGGGCGACCCCAAAGGTTGTCTTCAAATCTCCCAACAAATAGAACTCACGTAAGAGTCATCTTCACATCTCCCCAGTTCGGTCGCTGGGGCCACGGCGCCGGGGGTTTCGAAGTCCCGGGGGCCGGGAAGGGCTGTTGGGGTCGCTGAGGTAGCGATGCAGGGCCTGGAGGCTTCCGCCCACAGCTTCCAATTTGTATACATATAAATGCTTAGCTGTTTTTGCCTTCTAATGTGCATTTTTATCTTTGCATTAAAGGTTTCCTGTTGGTGGTGGTGTTCCTTTAAACCAACCTGGAAAAGGGTAGCCTCAAACAAACACATACCCAAAAAAAACAGCTTCTCTGTGGTTTGGAGCCCAGTATCAACACTCAAAACCAGATCCAGGGTTCAAATCCCCAAACCACCAATCCAAACCGCTAATCCAAACCACAAATGAAGACTGCCGTGGGCGCGCCTCCAAAAACAAGGAGTTGGCTTCGCCGCAGGTATGCTGCCTCTTTAAAATCCACCAAAAGGGACCGCCCAGGGAATCTTAGTTGAGTGCTGCCCAACAGGATGGGTCAAAAGAATGAGGCAATCAACCCTCAGACAATGCAAAAACAAAACCAGATGGCACTGACTGGTAAATGAACCAAACTGAAAGTGGAAATCCAGCCTCCAGGTCCTGCAGGCTATCCTGGTGGACCTGTTGCAAGAATGGTCACCAAGGTTTTTGTTAGGTTCCTCTTGGTGGAAGGGTAGCCAAAACCGAAAATCACGGCGTCCCCCTCCCAAAAAAGAACCAGATTTCAAGACAAGGGAAGCGCTTGGTCATGAAGAATGCGCAATGGGGGGGGAAGGTTGAGGATTTGGACGAGAAGTGACGGGTTCACAAGACAAGGACCCAAAGAGAGCAACCCAGGTTCCTATGCGATGTGGAGTATCCCATGCCCTCTTGCGAACGTGTTTACAAACGACTCTTCCAGGATCAAGCCTTCTGACAGCTTCTATGAGTATTAGAGGAAAAGGCGCGGTTTTATCACGGAAAGGCAACATCGTGGGAAGCATGAGAATGTGCAGGACGTAAACAAGTCATATTAAATCGATTGGGCTGTTTCTGTAGGATATTCGTGGTAAGAGGCATGCTGCTCGCTCGCCAGCCTGATAGAAGCCACCAATCACCTGCGGTCACTGGAGCCGTGGTCCAGTTGTCTGCTCCGAGGGCGTGAAAGTTCAGTCAGTCCCCCAGGTCCTTCCCATGGATCATAGACTGGCAATTTTGCCCGACATGAGATACAAGGCCGCCATAGAATGGAAAATGGGTCCTGCAAAATGGTCCACCCCTGCTTTCTTTGTTTCTAGTCCCTTGCCTGGGTAGAACTTCGTGCCCTATTGCCCATATGAAGGTTTCGAACCCTCGGACTTCGGAGAGCATGGCCCGCACGGCACAGAGACTTCTGGCGCGCCTTCCCATGCTTGGAAGCTGGGCTGGCCGGCAGCATCTGTTTGGGCAGCTCCCACAAAGCCTTTCGGTTGAGCCGGCGGATTTGTCGGATTCGTCTCGGGGAATGTCCGACCTTCTACCCCAGAGAATGGCTCCAAGTGGGTGCGTCACTTTTTAGGGCACCCTTTTTCGGTTGGTTTAAAGGTGAAACCAACAGGAAACTACCTTTTCGTGTTTTCTTCTCTCTCTTTTTTTGCGGGGCGGGTTCCCATCAACAAAGATCCACGCAAATCACCCAAGTGTCTTTCAGTCATAGTGGGCGCAGAGACAACCCCCTGGTTTAACCGAGTGACTCTCTCCTGATAACCTCCACGTGTGGTATGGTCAAAGCTCCTTACGTGGGCCGTGCGGCGTTATGTCATGTCTTGGAACCCTACCTGTTTTGGAGTTGTGCGCATGGAAACGCAGATTTGAAAAATAAACACCTTCAAGACAAAAGAAACCAACCGCGGAACCCCAGGACCCCCCCCCCCGGCCCATTCCCCCCGGCCCATTCCCCCCGCCCCATTCTGACACACCCCGGCTTGTGACCGAACAATCGGAATTCCCAAGCCATCCCCGCAAAGCCTTGGGATAGCCGGCGATGGCCAGGTGCCCGCAAAGCTCTTCCTTCTGGTTGTTCACCTCCACCGGATCGCCTCTCCAGACCTGCCGCTGGTGGGCTTTTCGAGTTTGTTTCAAGCGAGCTCTAGCGAGTCGAGTCTCGCAAAAGTATACCAGCATGGAAGCGCCTAGCCTGGTACGGCTGTGGCGGATCCGTGAATACAGCGAGGTCAAGCAGAATTCCCTCGTGGCGATCCTCGCACGATGCTTCCGAGAAGAAAAGGGCCCTCCCCCAGGGCTGTCCAATGCAGTCTGAAAAATGCCAAACCACCACAAAGGACTGTCTTCTTCAGAAAGAAACAGAAAGCATGACACATACATCCTGTTTGCTCCCAACATGAGGTGCCCCTCATGATTCCAACTGGCACGCTTGCCCCGTGGTGTGCTGCTTGGTGTGTGAAGTCAACAGGGGGTTGTGCCTGCCCTATGGTGAGTTGTTACTTCTGCTTTGCTTGTGAAGTTTGAACAGGGTGCCGAACTTAGCTTGGACACCGTGTTCTGCGCTCCGACCGCTCCACGTGTTCTGGAGAGAAGTCCTGGCCTGGACCTTGCGGCTTGACTGGCACAGTCACTGGACGCCTCCTTTGAGTTCTACTCAAGTCCAAGTCCAATCTTTGCTTCTCTCTGGTTTTGAGGCATGAACCAAACAAAAGAAGCCACTGAGTGGCCTTTCAAACAACCCGGTCAACTTCTCACAAACCTCGGTGCCAGCTGGTGCTTCTTGGTCCCTGATGCTCCTCTTTCAGAACGAATTTGAGTCTGGGAGGTCAGGACATTCGAGGACATTTGCCTTTCTGCCCTGTAGCTTCTTGTCTTGAAACCTACATACACACAAACACCCGACTAATAAACACATGCAAACACACACACACACACACACACACACACATCGAGTGTTGTAGAGACTTGTGGGTGGGTCGAACTAGCGTCCATGTCCAAGTGTAGAAAGTGACCAAATACGTGTTCAACCCGGATCTAAATAGTGATTGACATGTTGTAATATGCTTATAAATATTATGTCAAATGCATTGAACCATTTATCAACAGCTCTGAAGATTAGTATAAGTGTTTAGACACATGCGTACAATGTATAAAGTTGTCTTCACAACATAGACATATTTAAACACAGTTCTAAGCATGTCAAGCACAAATGCAGACATGCTTGCGAATAGTCTAATAATGCATTTAAGTGGGCAAATAGATTTCCAAACGCAATCGAAACTCTTCAAATTGCTTACATCACGAAGGATTTGCTTAATCTGTTATGGCACTAGCTGCCAGGCATGTCAAGAAAGATGGAAGGACGTCGCTGGAGCGCGGAATGCCGGAAAGCCCTCTGAAAGCCTACAAGCTCCTGCACAAGCGACAACAAACGATGGAACTCGCACAGGCGAGCACGAGCCGAGCATGGAACGGGGAAGCCAAGACCACACACACCAAGACCACACACAATGGGGTCAATTCAACGATTCAACGCGGCGACATTGGGGGGCCAATACCTAGATCGCATTTGGCTAAGGGTACAAGTTACAACTCTCCGCATTCCCACAGCCCCGGCCCCAACCCCGAGATGCCAAAATAGCATCAAAAACTCATTGGCAATGGATTCCCTGTGGAATCCAGGGTAGGTTTCCAATAGTGGGGTTCAAATTGTTTTGTGCAAATGCACCTCTTAGACACATGCACTCCTCCATGAGCATCGCGTTCCAGGATGCCGTCAGGTGGTACTGCACCTGGGCACCGTTGGAACGCACGTGAGGCAAGTCTGTGGGGAATAGCCGCTTAAAACTGATTGGTAAATTGGGGCAATTGATCGGCAACTGCTTGGACAACATTTCCAGCCGAGCGTGAGAAAAGCCTGCTTACCTGACAAGGCAAAAACCTGGCTTTGTAGAAATATCATGTGATTTATGTCGTGGCTGGCGGGGTGCCGTATGTGGGTGTTTCTGAAAAAACACAACCCAAACAATATCCATAAGGTGGTTCCCCATCTTATGGCACTCCTGTTTGCCAACGTATTCACATTCGGGACCTCATTTTGATGTGGCAAGGGTCCGGCAAGCCACGAGGATGTTTTCGGGGTTCCTCTCCACCTCGAAATTCGGCATAGAAAGACACGAAGCAAAAAAGGGTGAGGCAATTTTGATCAGCCAGCCGGACCAGCTATCTGGGTTATGGAAAAAAAAAGAAGAAGCATCCAAGTGCCTACCCCAAAACGATTGAGGATTCATGGACAATGGCTTCGCTCATTCTCAGGACCCGGGAAGATTGAGCGGGGCTTCCCAGTTCTGGGTAATCCCCTCCCCCCCCCCAAGCCGTCTTGAAGCTATCTTGCTCCACCTTCAAAGAGGGTCATCGGATATCAAATGGCTTACCTTCTGTCAAGCCCTCCATTTCCGTCCTATGAATACACAGGCATGGTTTTGCCAAGTTGGTCAAAGCAGACTGATTCCCTCAACAGCAACCTCTGTAGCCATCCTGGCCGAGACACACCCATGCCGGCACGTGCCCCAAAGTTGCTTGGTTTGGGCCCCTTCTACACCCTGGTGCTGAAATGGCGTCTGACTTCGTCTGATGTTGCAAGAGGTGACGTTGTTGTAAGAGGTGCCAACCCCCTCCCCCTCCGGTACAAGAAAACAGAGAAACGAGATACGCTGGCCCCTGGGAGGATTGAGCCGTGCACAGAAGAGCGGCGCCCTTTTTGGACCAAGGGTCGGGAATTCTGGGGCCGAAAAGTACCAAAGCACATCCGGTAAGACGAGCAAAGGGATCCACCTGGAAAAAAGGACAAGGTTTCTCGGGATTACTTCAACTGTCTTGAGAACCAACAACGCATGCCCCCGGACCCCGGCTCAGAGCCAACTCTTGCAGGAATCCAGCCAGCTACAAGTAGTGCAAACTGTTCACCCTCCCAAAACTAGGATGACCCTGGGAAATATCCTTCACTTATTCAGGGACTCCTTCTGGAAGTTGGGAAATTCCTATGAAACAGGCACCCCCCCTGACTGCAATGCCCTTGTGAAGCTAAAGACGCGTTTCACGCCACACCCTCCCCACCCGGCCACCAAGGGCCCAGCATTTGGGTCGTAGGGCTTCCACTGCTCTGGACTGATCTGGGCGGAAAGAGGCTGGGATGCTAAGAAAAGGTTCGACCCTACGGAAAACATCCGGACGGCCCCAGGTATCCCTTTGGAACACTGGCACCGATGCAAATTGACTCCCCCATGACCAGCAACTTGTGCGAAGTGGATCTTGTCTGCCGACAGTAGGATCCACTTTTTGCTTTTGGGGGGGTTGTCTCGGGCTTTTAGTGAGGGTTCGTAACTATTGGAGGGAGAACCCCCTATTCATGGGACAGGTTTGTTACTCCGGGCTCAACATGGAGACCCTACAACGAAGAGTCCTGCAGTTGCCCCTTGCAACGGGGCACCGCGCCGGCAACTTCTGATCGAAGCCCAGCCACCACCATTCCCTCATGCGGGTTGACCCGCCCTGCAAGGCACAAAATCATGAAAGGCCTAGCCGAGGACAAAGCCAATACCATTTTTGATATGCATTTATACATATATATATATATATATATATACATGCTTATTCTGGTGAATATGAGTACATATACATTCATAGTTTGAATAAGGAAGGCCCTGGCATAGGGGACTCATGGAGGTTCTTGCGGTCTTATGCCTGTGTGTTGATTGAATGTACTCAGAGGGCCCCCTGGTTTGGAGCCGCCCTGAAGCCATGAACTGGACCGAGGATCTGGAAGTCGGTTGGCTCCCATGCCCACTTCACCTTAAAGGGGGTTCCCTTGCCATCACAGAAAATACGACAAGACCCATGTTCCCACAACCATGTGGTTGAACCAAAGTGCGGCAATCTGGACCCATCAACCGAAGGTGCAGACGAAGTCGAACATGAAGGGACGTCAAACATCGGGATGCCGGCAAAGGATAGATTACGCGGTCTTGGTGTTCTTTGAAATTTATCCAAAAAGCGAGTCCAGTCCATCTCGCTTTGACACCACATGATGCATTGGCCAGATTTGTCAGCGATGTCAACACTTCCCGGGGTTGGGCTGTTCAGGCTTCATGAATGCAACTTTTCGTGCGCCTCGACCCAGCGCAAGGAAGCGCATTTGCTGGATTATACTGTATGTCCTGTTCAGGAACGGCTGACGCGAACAAAGGCGGCGTACCCAGAAATGAGTCATCCACGCAAGAAAGAGTCGTACCATTCAAGTCAAGCATCGATTTTCCTCCATGGGGTCCTTCAACACAAAAGGATAAAGTGTCAAGCTGTACCAAGTTGTGTACTTTGCAAAATGCATGTAACGTATATATATATATATATATTATGTGAAATCGATTAACAACGTTGCACTTGACACCCCCGGCAAACTAAGCATTCTGCAAAAGACAATCCATGCTGACCCTCTTTTCCGCCTTTGCGGAACCAAACACATATCCAGCGATACATGTTACCGACATACAACCGTGGCATAACGCAGCAAGCACCCGAATTGGACCAGTGGATTACTCTCTCCCGTGGACTGTGGGCCGTCTGTGCGTTATGACATCCAACCAAGCACATGCCAGGGCACGCGCGCTGCCATGGTTGCAAGCAGATACAGGCAGTCTACAATTTCGCTGCGTGTTCAGTTGAGGTCTAGGGTACTTCAGTCAAATGTCGAGACTCGCCTGCGATTTGTGTATGTGGCTATAAAGTCTGTCATCTGCGTCTGTCTGCTGTGAACTGCGATGGTCTGAGTGCTTTCGTTTCGATTCAACTCAAAGCCGCAAACGAAAGCAATGTGAATTGAATGAAGGCTTACACAATGTACGGTTGAAGCTTTGGACAATCTTGCAGAGAAAGAAGGATACTCCTTCTAGTCACTAGTCACCTAATATATAGTTTGTGGCTAGCTTTGCTTGGGATATCTGGTCCTTCCACAGTCTTTACTTGCAGTCCCAGCGCAGACTGCCGTCAAACGGGCTAAGTGCCAAGTTGGGCAGATGTGCCGCTCGCGGAGACAAATGGCCGCAGTCGGCGAGTTGAATGCTAAGCCATAGTTCAAGAGCTAGCAATTGGCAAAGATTTAGTCAGGGTACACGAATACGTTGTTGACCCAAACTATCGCGAACCTAGGTTTACTTTGGTAACCCAGCATTTGAAACCGTCGGCATGACGAGCCGGTTGGTTTGTGAAAGACGGGCTTTTCAACTGCAAGGGAAAGCCCAAGAACATCCTCTTCATAGGGAAGCATCAATGGACGGGGGATGCAGGGTTGGCCCGCATTAAACCACTTCCGGGACCTTGGTCAATGTTCAACCCCAAATTAGGACTCAAGTATGTGCCACCAACATCACTTGTGGAGGAAAAAGAAGATGAGAGATCTGGTGTCAATTGGGACGGGTCAAAACTAAACCACCAGGAATTGGACCGCAGGCTGTAGTCCTTGTTTCCATTTGCTGGGGTTAGCCATTTTGGGTGCCTATTTTTGTCACCCACGCCCAATTGGCGATTCGTGAAACAAGAGAAAGCATGCCCATCCCCTTTAGGAAGCTCTAAACACAAGTGGTCGCTACTCAGCGCTCAGGGCTTCAGTCTATTGAACGAAAGCAAGGCATGGGTTTGTGATTTTCTTGAGTTGGTGGGTGGTTTGAATCGGAAGCCAGCAAGACCAAACGAGATCCACACAAACACCCAGGCCCACTAAACCAAAAGGAAAACCGAGACCTTTTTTTTGGGGGGGGGGGGCCCTAACAAACACACAAAGACCCACTACGGTGTTTTCCCTCAGGATGGGTCTGGATCTAAAACTTTCCAAATGACCCCCTTCTTGGCCATCCACCTGGCCCTGCGCCAGGATCCGCTTCCGTTGCTGGTCCAGGCGGTCCCGCAGGAGCCGCCTGCGTGGGGTTCAAACCGGCGGTGAGGAAAACGGGGTCAAAAGAAAACCAAAGGCAAAACTTGGGAGGCGGAATCAAGCAAAAATGTTGAGGTGGTGTCAAAATAGGGGGGTCGACCCATTTTGGGAGGTCTTGGGATTCGCCTATTTTAAGAGATACGCATACACACAGTCCATTTGACCTCCCCTTGACTGCCACGCTTGGCATAGTGTCAACAGATCCACTACGTTTCACGTGGAGGAGGCCCGGAAACCGCTTAACGAACAGTTCGGCATGGGGCGTGACATGTTCGACATGTTCATGCCTCTAACATTCTGAAGGCTGACGGCCTTCCCAAAATCTCATTCAGTCTGGCGGCCGAGACATGAGAAGCTGAATCAGAAGCAAACCGACTTCGGCACCGCACATCATTGCAGGAACCATAATAACATGGCCACACAGGATATCTATAGGATATCTGTACCAAGGTTGCTCTAGGCTTTCCATTCTGGTCCAAAAAGCATATGGGTGTGTCTTTTGTGACTTTAAATGGCTTTGGTTGTCCTTTTGGTTTCCTTTGCCACGCCTGAGCCAGCATTGCAGCTCTGCTTGAGCTGCTTCCAGCGTCAGCACGTGATTGCAAGCTCCTGCCAGGGGCGTGGGTTGGCGGGGGTGGGGGAGGCCAGGAGTTTTTCACAAGATCCCGTTGTCTGGTTCGACAAAACTTGAAATAAGAAGCACTGAAAGCATCCTTGATAGGGCCTGGACTCACCAGGATCTCCGTTTCAATGCGGTCCCACCCATGGTCATGTCAGGTATGCGCCCAAGCCTCCTTCTCTAGAAGAGCCGAATGGGTGATGGCGATTCACGGTGGACAGCCCTGTTGAATGCTGCTTGGCAAACGGAAAGAAATCAACGAGCTTGGAACTCCACAGCAAGCTCATTGCAAATCATCATGGGGAACATCAATCTCAACATCACTAGTCGCCGGAAGCACCCCTCGCATAAGCTCTTCGGGAAGCTCGGGACTGGCTGGCATAAGCCGATTTTGCCAAGGGGCCTGCGCACTGGGAAAGTCATTGCCCCCTCACCCCCTTAGAGTGGCTAAATTACAGCCACAAAAAGTCCGAGCTTCGTTTCGTCCAGAAACTGGGCCCCACCTTTTTGAACTCTTGGGCTCTATGCTCAATGGTTACGACGCCAAGAGCGGCAAGGGGAATCTCACTTGAATCAAGACAAACATGAGCGTCTTCCTTGAGGGCAAGTACCCTTTCGGGGATTGGTTTGAAGCTTAAAGCCAAAAGGACACCATCCGCGGCAGGGGGTCCATCTGGAAACAACCCTGCCTAAGTCGACGGCGCGCAGGGCAACGAAGCGTGCAGGAGGGATCCAGAATCAGTATCTCCCGTTGCTGCATTTCTTGTTGTGAGAGATTTATGACGTAAGTGCAAGAGCAAACTATTCAAAGCACATGTCGTTCAATCTCGGATCCGGCAAGCAGGGTTTCCAGCAAACATCTGGCAGACAGCAACCATCGTGATGATGCCAGACCCAAGAAGATAGCCTTGATGCTCCCGCAGAAGGGTGCTTTGTGGGGGCCAAGTCATCAAGCCAGTAGAAGCTTGGTTTGGTCGGCGGCAAACCCGCTCCGAGCTAAACCACAAAAAGTAAAAGTTCGACAAATGTCCCACGAGAACATGGAACACTTGGATGCTTCGTCCCAGTGGCGTGTGTAATTCGAGGCTCCGGACCCCCATTTCTTCCTCCACAATATTGCGGATAGTCTCCCATTTCAGAGCAAACCTAGGCCTCATGATTGATTTGTGTATCTGGACTGTCTAACCCACGGGTCCTGACTTCGTGCGTGGTGCCGGCTCTTCGGGAGCCCAGAGAATTTCGTCAAGGACCTGCGTGGGGTCCGAGCCGAGCCCAGTCGTTTGCCACGAGCGCGAAGGGGTGTTGCTCTCTCGTGGTCACAGAAAGTGGGCACCAAACGGTGCCCTCGAACAAAAGCGGGTTCTTTCGGGTTCACCCCTAAAACCATCCAACAAGGTGTCCCTACCTTTGGGACACCCCTATGTCGGGCAGGGAGCGTGAACCAACAACACCGGCGCCAGTCTTTTGCACAAAGGAGGCTCGGCGAGCGCGCGAACACCCAGTCTTTTGCACAAGTTCAGCAGGCGGCGATGCACCCACTTGCCATGCTCAGGCCCGACCGGGTGTGTCTTTTTGTAGGCTACCCCAAAAAAATGTTGGCTTCCTGTTGGCCTCGTGAAAAACGCAGCAAAAAGGTACCCTCAAACAGAGACCCACCCAAGCAGCAAGCGGAGCACCTTTTCGCTTCACTAGCAGCACCAAGGCAAGCAGCGCAGAAGCGTGCGCGCTGGCCTGGCGAGGCTTTGAATCAAAGGCTCCCAGTCGATGGGCTTGTGCGGGCCCACCACCACCACCACCACCACCACCACCACCACCATCATCAAACATCGCGTCGGTTGTATCAATTCCGGCTTAAGTCCGTCGCTTGCCTGGAGGCTTTGAAGGCATCTGCCCGCCGGCCAGTAATGACCACGTTCTCCGGCGTCACAGCCTGCATTCACTCAGAGGCTCCAACCAAGACACATCCTTCAAAGAAAAGCACCAACACGAAACCATCCACTTGGGTGCAGATTTAGAACTTGAAAGGCCACATGTTCCCTGTGTCCACTCCAACGATTGCGGAGCTCAAGTGTATCAAAGAACTCCTCCCTGAACCAACCCGGTGCCTTGCTAATGTACTCCCGGATGGCAGCCTCGAGCCCAAGCTCCTGGATGTTCAGGCGAGACACACGTGTTTCTCAAAATATGAATCGGTTGACCGCTAACACGCTGGTGCTTCTTGAACAAGGGGTCGCCTGTAATGGTAAGGATGTCCTTTTGTTTCCCTGTAAATACCAACCATTTTGGGGTCCACCATTGTGAGAAACTCCCAAACAAGAAGGATCCGCGGAGACCTGAAACCCCATCAACGACCCATCTGGCAACTCAGCACCAAACAAATGGGGCTTTGCGTCACAGGCCGACGCACAATCAGAACCTCTCTTGCTGATTTCTTCAAGCCCATTCAGTTTTGACTGGCTGAATTCCGTCCATCTTGCTTGTTCTGAAGACAAACCGTGAGAGCGTGTTCAAGCAGTGTCATTTCGTCTAAGGTTGCCATTGAGCAGATTCGAAAACCCCAGCCTTTTTGTTGCTTTCCACGTCTGCGTGTGTGAATCAATGGCCATCCCACATCCCGTCATTTGCTCAGCCCTGATAGCCAGCCAAACAACTTCTCGTGCTTCGCGTTCCCAGTCGGGCGCCAAGCGTTTCACCACACCCTTCATCCGATTGACGAGGGTGGGCACCAACAAAGCCGAGCTCAGCAGCAACCCCGTCTTCCAGTTGGGGGAAGTAGGGGCGTATCCCACTTCTATTTGTACCCAGTCTTCTGGGGGGGAGGTCCCTTAAGCCACCACAGGGTTCCAGCCAGATTTCCCCCTTACCCCATTCAAAAGAAAACTCTCTGTAAATTGATGATGTTTAAAACCAAACATGGGAATCCCTGATTGGGTCTCTCTCTCTCTCTCTCTCTCTCTCCTCCCTCTCTCTCTCTCTCTCTCTCGCTCTCGCTCTCGCTCTCGCTCTCGCTCTCGCTCTCGCTCTCCATCTCTCTTCTTCTCTCTCTCTCTCTCTTTTTTGGAGGGTA